GATCGGACATTCCTATCAAAAGTTATGGCGAAATGAAAATTTCCCATTGAAAATGAATGGGAGCGGAAAATGGAAAAAGTCAGTGTTTGCAAGTGTTCTACTTTGTCTGGAAATGTTGAAAATGCATTGTGAGCACGTTTCAGGCCATTTCCTGTCATTTGAGGGCGACTTTGCAAAAAGGGGTGTCATACCGCTTTTGACCAGAGGTGGCGCTGCACCAGTTTGAGGGTAAGGGTTAGGTTGAGGCTTACAGGATAAATATTTCTAATTGGACATTACAATTATAATTCATTAAAATTAATCAGCTAAAAGAGGGTAAAAAATTCAAATTGGCCATTAACATTCATGTCATTAAATTTCAGTTGGCATTTATGGGGTTAACTGCACCCAGACGGCCGGGGGCCCCCGTCTGGCTCTGCTCTCTCCCACGCCCCTATAAATAACTCACGCACACACAGCTCAGTTCCCTCACTTCTTATATGTCTCCTGAAGAGAAAGCCTCTCACAAACACACCCAGACAAGTCCAGACATATCCCGTTCTGTGCCCATAGCCTGAAGAAGACCCAAGCGGGTCGAAACGTCACGACTGGGCACTCTTTTCACACCTTTATCTTGAATTCTTCATTTTGATACACATTTTATTAGGGTTAGGGTTAGGGGTTAGGGGTTAGGGTTAGGGGTTAGGGTTAGGGGTTAGGGTTAGGGGTTAGGGTTAGGTTTGGGGAAAATAATCCCGTCTCCCCTAAATTGCCCTACTTGGGTCGGCGGGGAGCGGGGAATGCACGGGCCTACGCCCCGCCGGACACGCTCCCCGGGTCCCGAAAGGCTGGCGGCTACTTCCGCCAGCTGAACCATATTTGGTCTGATGTGTATTAATTTGTAATTAAGTTCATGTAGTCCTATTTGACTTACTCACACGTACACAATTCATACATGATCTATATTTGATCTATGTATCCATACAATGTGCCTGCGTCGACGTTTCGACCCTGCTTGGGTCTTCTTCAGGACTGGGCACATGTAACAGCAAAGGCTGCTGGGCCCCAATTCATAGGGGTGAACCAGCCAGCAGCCAAAAAGAAATGAAAAGCCCTACCCACTTTTCTCCCTTTTATATCCCCTCAGCCAAAAATTAGAATAAATTTACTTATATTTAAGTTATTTTCTGCTCTATTTAGTTTTTGAAATCTTAACCCTTTCTGCACCGTTTGTGCTTTTAATCCATATTAATTATGTTTATTCACATATTTGTGCTTTAATAAACAAATTAATAGGTATTTTTTAATCCCAAAATTAGGGTTACGGTCCTGCTTGACCTTTGACCTCTATGGCCTGCTTGGCCGTTGGTCGTTTGCCTCTAATGGTTAGGGTTAGGGCGAGTCCCAGGTTAGGGTTAGAATCCCATACTAGGGTTAGGGTTAGGGTTAGATTCCCAGGTTAGGGTTAGTGCTGGGGTTAGGGTTAGGGTCAGCGCCACGGTTAGGTTAGGGTTAGGGTTAGGGTTAGGGTTAGGGTTAGGGGTTAGGGTTAGGGTTAGGGTTAGGGTTAGGGTTAGGGGTTAGGGTTAGGGTTAGGGTTAGGGTTAGGGGTTAGGGTTAGGGTTAGGGTTAGGGTTAGGGTTAGGATATAGGGATATGTGCCACTTTTGACATGCCGGTTAGGGTTAGGGTTAGGGTTAGGTTAGGGAAAGAATCCCGTCTCCCCTAAATTGCCCTACTTGGGTCGGCGGGGAGCGGGGAATGCACGGGCCTACGCCCCGTCGGACACGCTCCCCGGGTCCCGAAAGGCTGGCGGCTACTTCCGCCAGCTGAGCCATATTTGGCATGATGTGTGTTATACTATAATCAAGTTCATGTAGTCCTATTTGACTTACTCACACACACATAATTCATACATACATGATCTATATTTGATCTATGTATCTGTACATTGTGCCTGCTGCGTCGACGTTTCGACCTAATTTGGTCTTCTTCAGGACTGGGCACATGTAACAGCTCAGGCTGCTGGGCCCCAATTCATAGGGGTGAACCAGCCAGCAGCCGAACAAAAATGAAAATGAAAAGCCCTACCCACTTTTCTCCCTTTTATATTCCCTCAGCTAAAAATTAGAATGAATTTACTTATATTTAAGTTATTTTCTGCTCTATTTAGTTTTTGCAATCTTAACCCTTTATGCACCTGTTTGTGCTTTAAATCCGTATTAATTATGTTTATTCACATATTTGTGCTTTAATAAACATATTAATAGGTATATGGTCCTGCTTGACCTTTGACCTCTGTGGCCTGCTTGGCCGTCGGTCATTAAGTTGCCTCTAATGGTTAGGGTTAGGGCGAGTCCCAGGTTAGGGTTAGAATCCCATACTAGGGTTAGGGTTAGGGTTCGATTCCCAGGTTAGGGTTAGTGCTGGGGTTAGGGTTAGGGGTCAGCGCTAGGGTTAGGGTTAGGGTCAGCGCGATGGTTAGGGTTAGGGCTAGATGCCAGGCTGGGGTTATCATCAGCAGCCGCCCGGACTGCGAGTCGGCTGATTTTTTGCAGGTCGGGACCCAGGAAACGCGGCGACAGTGGACGTGGCACTGGCTGGATAGGTTAGGGAAAGAATCCCGTCTCCCCTAAATTGCCCTACTTGGGTCGGCGGGGAGCGGGGAATGCACGGGCCTACGCCCCGTCGGACACGCTCCCCGGGTCCCGAAAGGCTGGCGGCTACTTCCGCCAGCTGAGCCATATTTGGCATGATGTGTGTTATACTATAATCAAGTTCATGTAGTCCTATTTGACTTACTCACACACACATAATTCATACATACATGATCTATATTTGATCTATGTATCTGTACATTGTGCCTGCTGCGTCGACGTTTCGACCTAATTTGGTCTTCTTCAGGACTGGGCACATGTAACAGCTCAGGCTGCTGGGCCCCAATTCATAGGGGTGAACCAGCCAGCAGCCGAACAAAAATGAAAATGAAAAGCCCTACCCACTTTTCTCCCTTTTATATTCCCTCAGCTAAAAATTAGAATGAATTTACTTATATTTAAGTTATTTTCTGCTCTATTTAGTTTTTGCAATCTTAACCCTTTATGCACCTGTTTGTGCTTTAAATCCGTATTAATTATGTTTATTCACATATTTGTGCTTTAATAAACATATTAATAGGTATATGGTCCTGCTTGACCTTTGACCTCTGTGGCCTGCTTGGCCGTCGGTCATTAAGTTGCCTCTAATGGTTAGGGTTAGGGCGAGTCCCAGGTTAGGGTTAGAATCCCATACTAGGGTTAGGGTTAGGGTTCGATTCCCAGGTTAGGGTTAGTGCTGGGGTTAGGGTTAGGGGTCAGCGCTAGGGTTAGGGTTAGGGTCAGCGCGATGGTTAGGGTTAGGGCTAGATGCCAGGCTGGGGTTATCATCAGCAGCCGCCCGGACTGCGAGTCGGCTGATTTTTTGCAGGTCGGGACCCAGGAAACGCGGCGACAGTGGACGTGGCACTGGCTGGATAGGTTAGGGAAAGAATCCCGTCTCCCCTAAATTGCCCTACTTGGGTCGGCGGGGAGCGGGGAATGCACGGGCCTACGCCCCGTCGGACACGCTCCCCGGGTCCCGAAAGGCTGGCGGCTACTTCCGCCAGCTGAGCCATATTTGGCATGATGTGTGTTATACTATAATCAAGTTCATGTAGTCCTATTTGACTTACTCACACACACATAATTCATACATACATGATCTATATTTGATCTATGTATCTGTACATTGTGCCTGCTGCGTCGACGTTTCGACCTAATTTGGTCTTCTTCAGGACTGGGCACATGTAACAGCTCAGGCTGCTGGGCCCCAATTCATAGGGGTGAACCAGCCAGCAGCCGAACAAAAATGAAAATGAAAAGCCCTACCCACTTTTCTCCCTTTTATATTCCCTCAGCTAAAAATTAGAATGAATTTACTTATATTTAAGTTATTTTCTGCTCTATTTAGTTTTTGCAATCTTAACCCTTTATGCACCTGTTTGTGCTTTAAATCCGTATTAATTATGTTTATTCACATATTTGTGCTTTAATAAACATATTAATAGGTATATGGTCCTGCTTGACCTTTGACCTCTGTGGCCTGCTTGGCCGTCGGTCATTAAGTTGCCTCTAATGGTTAGGGTTAGGGCGAGTCCCAGGTTAGGGTTAGAATCCCATACTAGGGTTAGGGTTAGGGTTCGATTCCCAGGTTAGGGTTAGTGCTGGGGTTAGGGTTAGGGGTCAGCGCTAGGGTTAGGGTTAGGGTCAGCGCGATGGTTAGGGTTAGGGCTAGATGCCAGGCTGGGGTTATCATCAGCAGCCGCCCGGACTGCGAGTCGGCTGATTTTTTGCAGGTCGGGACCCAGGAAACGCGGCGACAGTGGACGTGGCACTGGCTGGATAGGTTAGGGAAAGAATCCCGTCTCCCCTAAATTGCCCTACTTGGGTCGGCGGGGAGCGGGGAATGCACGGGCCTACGCCCCGTCGGACACGCTCCCCGGGTCCCGAAAGGCTGGCGGCTACTTCCGCCAGCTGAGCCATATTTGGCATGATGTGTGTTATACTATAATCAAGTTCATGTAGTCCTATTTGACTTACTCACACACACATAATTCATACATACATGATCTATATTTGATCTATGTATCTGTACATTGTGCCTGCTGCGTCGACGTTTCGACCTAATTTGGTCTTCTTCAGGACTGGGCACATGTAACAGCTCAGGCTGCTGGGCCCCAATTCATAGGGGTGAACCAGCCAGCAGCCGAACAAAAATGAAAATGAAAAGCCCTACCCACTTTTCTCCCTTTTATATTCCCTCAGCTAAAAATTAGAATGAATTTACTTATATTTAAGTTATTTTCTGCTCTATTTAGTTTTTGCAATCTTAACCCTTTATGCACCTGTTTGTGCTTTAAATCCGTATTAATTATGTTTATTCACATATTTGTGCTTTAATAAACATATTAATAGGTATATGGTCCTGCTTGACCTTTGACCTCTGTGGCCTGCTTGGCCGTCGGTCATTAAGTTGCCTCTAATGGTTAGGGTTAGGGCGAGTCCCAGGTTAGGGTTAGAATCCCATACTAGGGTTAGGGTTAGGGTTCGATTCCCAGGTTAGGGTTAGTGCTGGGGTTAGGGTTAGGGGTCAGCGCTAGGGTTAGGGTTAGGGTCAGCGCGATGGTTAGGGTTAGGGCTAGATGCCAGGCTGGGGTTATCATCAGCAGCCGCCCGGACTGCGAGTCGGCTGATTTTTTGCAGGTCGGGACCCAGGAAACGCGGCGACAGTGGACGTGGCACTGGCTGGATAGGTTAGGGAAAGAATCCCGTCTCCCCTAAATTGCCCTACTTGGGTCGGCGGGGAGCGGGGAATGCACGGGCCTACGCCCCGTCGGACACGCTCCCCGGGTCCCGAAAGGCTGGCGGCTACTTCCGCCAGCTGAGCCATATTTGGCATGATGTGTGTTATACTATAATCAAGTTCATGTAGTCCTATTTGACTTACTCACACACACATAATTCATACATACATGATCTATATTTGATCTATGTATCTGTACATTGTGCCTGCTGCGTCGACGTTTCGACCTAATTTGGTCTTCTTCAGGACTGGGCACATGTAACAGCTCAGGCTGCTGGGCCCCAATTCATAGGGGTGAACCAGCCAGCAGCCGAACAAAAATGAAAATGAAAAGCCCTACCCACTTTTCTCCCTTTTATATTCCCTCAGCTAAAAATTAGAATGAATTTACTTATATTTAAGTTATTTTCTGCTCTATTTAGTTTTTGCAATCTTAACCCTTTATGCACCTGTTTGTGCTTTAAATCCGTATTAATTATGTTTATTCACATATTTGTGCTTTAATAAACATATTAATAGGTATATGGTCCTGCTTGACCTTTGACCTCTGTGGCCTGCTTGGCCGTCGGTCATTAAGTTGCCTCTAATGGTTAGGGTTAGGGCGAGTCCCAGGTTAGGGTTAGAATCCCATACTAGGGTTAGGGTTAGGGTTAGATTCCCAGGTTAGGGTTAGTGCTGGGGTTAGGGTTAGGGGTCAGCGCTAGGGTTAGGGTTAGGGTCAGCGCGATGGTTAGGGTTAGGGCTAGATGCCAGGCTGGGGTTATCATCAGCAGCCGCCCGGACTGCGAGTCGGCTGATTTTTTGCAGGTCGGGACCCAGGAAACGCGGCGACAGTGGACGTGGCACTGGCTGGATAGGTTAGGGAAAGAATCCCGTCTCCCCTAAATTGCCCTACTTGGGTCGGCGGGGAGCGGGGAATGCACGGGCCTACGCCCCGTCGGACACGCTCCCCGGGTCCCGAAAGGCTGGCGGCTACTTCCGCCAGCTGAGCCATATTTGGCATGATGTGTGTTATACTATAATCAAGTTCATGTAGTCCTATTTGACTTACTCACACACACATAATTCATACATACATGATCTATATTTGATCTATGTATCTGTACATTGTGCCTGCTGCGTCGACGTTTCGACCTAATTTGGTCTTCTTCAGGACTGGGCACATGTAACAGCTCAGGCTGCTGGGCCCCAATTCATAGGGGTGAACCAGCCAGCAGCCGAACAAAAATGAAAATGAAAAGCCCTACCCACTTTTCTCCCTTTTATATTCCCTCAGCTAAAAATTAGAATGAATTTACTTATATTTAAGTTATTTTCTGCTCTATTTAGTTTTTGCAATCTTAACCCTTTATGCACCTGTTTGTGCTTTAAATCCGTATTAATTATGTTTATTCACATATTTGTGCTTTAATAAACATATTAATAGGTATATGGTCCTGCTTGACCTTTGACCTCTGTGGCCTGCTTGGCCGTCGGTCATTAAGTTGCCTCTAATGGTTAGGGTTAGGGCGAGTCCCAGGTTAGGGTTAGAATCCCATACTAGGGTTAGGGTTAGGGTTAGATTCCCAGGTTAGGGTTAGTGCTGGGGTTAGGGTTAGGGGTCAGCGCTAGGGTTAGGGTTAGGGTCAGCGCGATGGTTAGGGTTAGGGCTAGATGCCAGGCTGGGGTTATCATCAGCAGCCGCCCGGACTGCGAGTCGGCTGATTTTTTGCAGGTCGGGACCCAGGAAACGCGGCGACAGTGGACGTGGCACTGGCTGGATAGGTTAGGGAAAGAATCCCGTCTCCCCTAAATTGCCCTACTTGGGTCGGCGGGGAGCGGGGAATGCACGGGCCTACGCCCCGTCGGACACGCTCCCCGGGTCCCGAAAGGCTGGCGGCTACTTCCGCCAGCTGAGCCATATTTGGCATGATGTGTGTTATACTATAATCAAGTTCATGTAGTCCTATTTGACTTACTCACACACACATAATTCATACATACATGATCTATATTTGATCTATGTATCTGTACATTGTGCCTGCTGCGTCGACGTTTCGACCTAATTTGGTCTTCTTCAGGACTGGGCACATGTAACAGCTCAGGCTGCTGGGCCCCAATTCATAGGGGTGAACCAGCCAGCAGCCGAACAAAAATGAAAATGAAAAGCCCTACCCACTTTTCTCCCTTTTATATTCCCTCAGCTAAAAATTAGAATGAATTTACTTATATTTAAGTTATTTTCTGCTCTATTTAGTTTTTGCAATCTTAACCCTTTATGCACCTGTTTGTGCTTTAAATCCGTATTAATTATGTTTATTCACATATTTGTGCTTTAATAAACATATTAATAGGTATATGGTCCTGCTTGACCTTTGACCTCTGTGGCCTGCTTGGCCGTCGGTCATTAAGTTGCCTCTAATGGTTAGGGTTAGGGCGAGTCCCAGGTTAGGGTTAGAATCCCATACTAGGGTTAGGGTTAGGGTTAGATTCCCAGGTTAGGGTTAGTGCTGGGGTTAGGGTTAGGGGTCAGCGCTAGGGTTAGGGTTAGGGTCAGCGCGATGGTTAGGGTTAGGGCTAGATGCCAGGCTGGGGTTATCATCAGCAGCCGCCCGGACTGCGAGTCGGCTGATTTTTTGCAGGTCGGGACCCAGGAAACGCGGCGACAGTGGACGTGGCACTGGCTGGATAGGTTAGGGAAAGAATCCCGTCTCCCCTAAATTGCCCTACTTGGGTCGGCGGGGAGCGGGGAATGCACGGGCCTACGCCCCGTCGGACACGCTCCCCGGGTCCCGAAAGGCTGGCGGCTACTTCCGCCAGCTGAGCCATATTTGGCATGATGTGTGTTATACTATAATCAAGTTCATGTAGTCCTATTTGACTTACTCACACACACATAATTCATACATACATGATCTATATTTGATCTATGTATCTGTACATTGTGCCTGCTGCGTCGACGTTTCGACCTAATTTGGTCTTCTTCAGGACTGGGCACATGTAACAGCTCAGGCTGCTGGGCCCCAATTCATAGGGGTGAACCAGCCAGCAGCCGAACAAAAATGAAAATGAAAAGCCCTACCCACTTTTCTCCCTTTTATATTCCCTCAGCTAAAAATTAGAATGAATTTACTTATATTTAAGTTATTTTCTGCTCTATTTAGTTTTTGCAATCTTAACCCTTTATGCACCTGTTTGTGCTTTAAATCCGTATTAATTATGTTTATTCACATATTTGTGCTTTAATAAACATATTAATAGGTATATGGTCCTGCTTGACCTTTGACCTCTGTGGCCTGCTTGGCCGTCGGTCATTAAGTTGCCTCTAATGGTTAGGGTTAGGGCGAGTCCCAGGTTAGGGTTAGAATCCCATACTAGGGTTAGGGTTAGGGTTAGATTCCCAGGTTAGGGTTAGTGCTGGGGTTAGGGTTAGGGGTCAGCGCTAGGGTTAGGGTTAGGGTCAGCGCGATGGTTAGGGTTAGGGCTAGATGCCAGGCTGGGGTTATCATCAGCAGCCGCCCGGACTGCGAGTCGGCTGATTTTTTGCAGGTCGGGACCCAGGAAACGCGGCGACAGTGGACGTGGCACTGGCTGGATAGGTTAGGGAAAGAATCCCGTCTCCCCTAAATTGCCCTACTTGGGTCGGCGGGGAGCGGGGAATGCACGGGCCTACGCCCCGTCGGACACGCTCCCCGGGTCCCGAAAGGCTGGCGGCTACTTCCGCCAGCTGAGCCATATTTGGCATGATGTGTGTTATACTATAATCAAGTTCATGTAGTCCTATTTGACTTACTCACACACACATAATTCATACATACATGATCTATATTTGATCTATGTATCTGTACATTGTGCCTGCTGCGTCGACGTTTCGACCTAATTTGGTCTTCTTCAGGACTGGGCACATGTAACAGCTCAGGCTGCTGGGCCCCAATTCATAGGGGTGAACCAGCCAGCAGCCGAACAAAAATGAAAATGAAAAGCCCTACCCACTTTTCTCCCTTTTATATTCCCTCAGCTAAAAATTAGAATGAATTTACTTATATTTAAGTTATTTTCTGCTCTATTTAGTTTTTGCAATCTTAACCCTTTATGCACCTGTTTGTGCTTTAAATCCGTATTAATTATGTTTATTCACATATTTGTGCTTTAATAAACATATTAATAGGTATATGGTCCTGCTTGACCTTTGACCTCTGTGGCCTGCTTGGCCGTCGGTCATTAAGTTGCCTCTAATGGTTAGGGTTAGGGCGAGTCCCAGGTTAGGGTTAGAATCCCATACTAGGGTTAGGGTTAGGGTTCGATTCCCAGGTTAGGGTTAGTGCTGGGGTTAGGGTTAGGGTTAGGGTTAGGGTTAGGGTTAGGGTTAGGGGTTAGGGTTAGGGTTAGGGTTAGGGTTAGGGTTAGGGTTAGGGGGTTAGGGTTAGGGTTAGGGTTAGGGTTAGGGTTAGGGTTAGGGTTAGGGTTAGGGTTAGGGTTAGGGGGTTAGGTTAGGGAAAGAATCCCGTCTCCCCTAAATTGCCCTACTTGGGTCGGCGGGGAGCGGGGAATGCACGGGCCTACGCCCCGTCGGACACGCTCCCCGGGTCCCGAAAGGCTGGCGGCTACTTCCGCCAGCTGAGCCATATTTGGCATGATGTGTGTTATACTATAATCAAGTTCATGTAGTCCTATTTGACTTACTCACACACACATAATTCATACATACATGATCTATATTTGATCTATGTATCTGTACATTGTGCCTGCTGCGTCGACGTTTCGACCTAATTTGGTCTTCTTCAGGACTGGGCACATGTAACAGCTAAGGCTGCTGGGCCCCAATTCATAGGGGTGAACCAGCCAGCAGCCGAACAGAAATGAAAATGAAAAGCCCTACCCACTTTTCTCCCTTTTATATTCCCTCAGCTAAAAATTAGAATGAATTTACTTATATTTAAGTTATTTTCTGCTCTATTTAGTTTTTACAATCTTAACCCTTTATGCACCTGTTTGTGCTTTAAATCCGTATTAATTATGTTTATTCACATATTTGTGCTTTAATAAACATATTAATAGGTATATGGTCCTGCTTGACCTTTGACCTCTGTGGCCTGCTTGGCCGTCGGTCATTAAGTTGCCTCTAATGGTTAGGGTTAGGGCGAGTCCCAGGTTAGGGTTAGAATCCCATACTAGGGTTAGGGTTAGGGTTAGATTCCCAGGTTAGGGTTAGTGCTGGGGTTAGGGTTAGGGGTCAGCGCTAGGGTTAGGGTTAGGGTCAGCGCGATGGTTAGGGTTAGGGCTAGATGCCAGGCTGGGGTTATCATCAGCAGCCGCCCGGACTGCGAGTCGGCTGATTTTTTGCAGGTCGGGACCCAGGAAACGCGGCGACAGTGGACGTGGCACTGGCTGGATAGGTTAGGGAAAGAATCCCGTCTCCCCTAAATTGCCCTACTTGGGTCGGCGGGGAGCGGGGAATGCACGGGCCTACGCCCCGTCGGACACGCTCCCCGGGTCCCGAAAGGCTGGCGGCTACTTCCGCCAGCTGAGCCATATTTGGCATGATGTGTGTTATACTATAATCAAGTTCATGTAGTCCTATTTGACTTACTCACACACACATAATTCATACATACATGATCTATATTTGATCTATGTATCTGTACATTGTGCCTGCTGCGTCGACGTTTCGACCTAATTTGGTCTTCTTCAGGACTGGGCACATGTAACAGCTCAGGCTGCTGGGCCCCAATTCATAGGGGTGAACCAGCCAGCAGCCGAACAGAAATGAAAATGAAAAGCCCTACCCACTTTTCTCCCTTTTATATTCCCTCAGCTAAAAATTAGAATGAATTTACTTATATTTAAGTTATTTTCTGCTCTATTTAGTTTTTGCAATCTTAACCCTTTATGCACCTGTTTGTGCTTTAAATCCGTATTAATTATGTTTATTCACATATTTGTGCTTTAATAAACATATTAATAGGTATATGGTCCTGCTTGACCTTTGACCTCTGTGGCCTGCTTGGCCGTCGGTCATTAAGTTGCCTCTAATGGTTAGGGTTAGGGCGAGTCCCAGGTTAGGGTTAGAATCCCATACTAGGGTTAGGGTTAGGGTTAGATTCCCAGGTTAGGGTTAGTGCTGGGGTTAGGGTTAGGGGTCAGCGCTAGGGTTAGGGTTAGGGTCAGCGCGATGGTTAGGGTTAGGGCTAGATGCCAGGCTGGGGTTATCATCAGCAGCCGCCCGGACTGCGAGTCGGCTGATTTTTTGCAGGTCGGGACCCAGGAAACGCGGCGACAGTGGACGTGGCACTGGCTGGATAGGTTAGGGAAAGAATCCCGTCTCCCCTAAATTGCCCTACTTGGGTCGGCGGGGAGCGGGGAATGCACGGGCCTACGCCCCGTCGGACACGCTCCCCGGGTCCCGAAAGGCTGGCGGCTACTTCCGCCAGCTGAGCCATATTTGGCATGATGTGTGTTATACTATAATCAAGTTCATGTAGTCCTATTTGACTTACTCACACACACATAATTCATACATACATGATCTATATTTGATCTATGTATCTGTACATTGTGCCTGCTGCGTCGACGTTTCGACCTAATTTGGTCTTCTTCAGGACTGGGCACATGTAACAGCTCAGGCTGCTGGGCCCCAATTCATAGGGGTGAACCAGCCAGCAGCCGAACAAAAATGAAAATGAAAAGCCCTACCCACTTTTCTCCCTTTTATATTCCCTCAGCTAAAAATTAGAATGAATTTACTTATATTTAAGTTATTTTCTGCTCTATTTAGTTTTTACAATCTTAACCCTTTATGCACCTGTTTGTGCTTTAAATCCGTATTAATTATGTTTATTCACATATTTGTGCTTTAATAAACATATTAATAGGTATATGGTCCTGCTTGACCTTTGACCTCTGTGGCCTGCTTGGCCGTCGGTCATTAAGTTGCCTCTAATGGTTAGGGTTAGGGCGAGTCCCAGGTTAGGGTTAGAATCCCATACTAGGGTTAGGGTTAGGGTTAGATTCCCAGGTTAGGGTTAGTGCTGGGGTTAGGGTTAGGGGTCAGCGCTAGGGTTAGGGTTAGGGTCAGCGCGATGGTTAGGGTTAGGGCTAGATGCCAGGCTGGGGTTATCATCAGCAGCCGCCCGGACTGCGAGTCGGCTGATTTTTTGCAGGTCGGGACCCAGGAAACGCGGCGACAGTGGACGTGGCACTGGCTGGATAGGTTAGGGAAAGAATCCCGTCTCCCCTAAATTGCCCTACTTGGGTCGGCGGGGAGCGGGGAATGCACGGGCCTACGCCCCGTCGGACACGCTCCCCGGGTCCCGAAAGGCTGGCGGCTACTTCCGCCAGCTGAGCCATATTTGGCATGATGTGTGTTATACTATAATCAAGTTCATGTAGTCCTATTTGACTTACTCACACACACATAATTCATACATACATGATCTATATTTGATCTATGTATCTGTACATTGTGCCTGCTGCGTCGACGTTTCGACCTAATTTGGTCTTCTTCAGGACTGGGCACATGTAACAGCTCAGGCTGCTGGGCCCCAATTCATAGGGGTGAACCAGCCAGCAGCCGAACAAAAATGAAAATGAAAAGCCCTACCCACTTTTCTCCCTTTTATATTCCCTCAGCTAAAAATTAGAATGAATTTACTTATATTTAAGTTATTTTCTGCTCTATTTAGTTTTTGCAATCTTAACCCTTTATGCACCTGTTTGTGCTTTAAATCCGTATTAATTATGTTTATTCACATATTTGTGCTTTAATAAACATATTAATAGGTATATGGTCCTGCTTGACCTTTGACCTCTGTGGCCTGCTTGGCCGTCGGTCATTAAGTTGCCTCTAATGGTTAGGGTTAGGGCGAGTCCCAGGTTAGGGTTAGAATCCCATACTAGGGTTAGGGTTAGGGTTAGATTCCCAGGTTAGGGTTAGTGCTGGGGTTAGGGTTAGGGGTCAGCGCTAGGGTTAGGGTTAGGGTCAGCGCGATGGTTAGGGTTAGGGCTAGATGCCAGGCTGGGGTTATCATCAGCAGCCGCCCGGACTGCGAGTCGGCTGATTTTTTGCAGGTCGGGACCCAGGAAACGCGGCGACAGTGGACGTGGCACTGGCTGGATAGGTTAGGGAAAGAATCCCGTCTCCCCTAAATTGCCCTACTTGGGTCGGCGGGGAGCGGGGAATGCACGGGCCTACGCCCCGTCGGACACGCTCCCCGGGTCCCGAAAGGCTGGCGGCTACTTCCGCCAGCTGAGCCATATTTGGCATGATGTGTGTTATACTATAATCAAGTTCATGTAGTCCTATTTGACTTACTCACACACACATAATTCATACATACATGATCTATATTTGATCTATGTATCTGTACATTGTGCCTGCTGCGTCGACGTTTCGACCTAATTTGGTCTTCTTCAGGACTGGGCACATGTAACAGCTCAGGCTGCTGGGCCCCAATTCATAGGGGTGAACCAGCCAGCAGCCGAACAGAAATGAAAATGAAAAGCCCTACCCACTTTTCTCCCTTTTATATTCCCTCAGCTAAAAATTAGAATGAATTTACTTATATTTAAGTTATTTTCTGCTCTATTTAGTTTTTGCAATCTTAACCCTTTATGCACCTGTTTGTGCTTTAAATCCGTATTAATTATGTTTATTCACATATTTGTGCTTTAATAAACATATTAATAGGTATATGGTCCTGCTTGACCTTTGACCTCTGTGGCCTGCTTGGCCGTCGGTCATTAAGTTGCCTCTAATGGTTAGGGTTAGGGCGAGTCCCAGGTTAGGGTTAGAATCCCATACTAGGGTTAGGGTTAGGGTTAGATTCCCAGGTTAGGGTTAGTGCTGGGGTTAGGGTTAGGGGTCAGCGCTAGGGTTAGGGTTAGGGTCAGCGCGATGGTTAGGGTTAGGGCTAGATGCCAGGCTGGGGTTATCATCAGCAGCCGCCCGGACTGCGAGTCGGCTGATTTTTTGCAGGTCGGGACCCAGGAAACGCGGCGACAGTGGACGTGGCACTGGCTGGATAGGTTAGGGAAAGAATCCCGTCTCCCCTAAATTGCCCTACTTGGGTCGGCGGGGAGCGGGGAATGCACGGGCCTACGCCCCGTCGGACACGCTCCCCGGGTCCCGAAAGGCTGGCGGCTACTTCCGCCAGCTGAGCCATATTTGGCATGATGTGTGTTATACTATAATCAAGTTCATGTAGTCCTATTTGACTTACTCACACACACATAATTCATACATACATGATCTATATTTGATCTATGTATCTGTACATTGTGCCTGCTGCGTCGACGTTTCGACCTAATTTGGTCTTCTTCAGGACTGGGCACATGTAACAGCTCAGGCTGCTGGGCCCCAATTCATAGGGGTGAACCAGCCAGCAGCCGAACAAAATGAAAATGAAAAGCCCTACCCACTTTTCTCCCTTTTATATTCCCTCAGCTAAAAATTAGAATGAATTTACTTATATTTAAGTTATTTTCTGCTCTATTTAGTTTTTACAATCTTAACCCTTTATGCACCTGTTTGTGCTTTAAATCCGTATTAATTATGTTTATTCACATATTTGTGCTTTAATAAACATATTAATAGGTATATGGTCCTGCTTGACCTTTGACCTCTGTGGCCTGCTTGGCCGTCGGTCATTAAGTTGCCTCTAATGGTTAGGGTTAGGGCGAGTCCCAGGTTAGGGTTAGAATCCCATACTAGGGTTAGGGTTAGGGTTAGATTCCCAGGTTAGGGTTAGTGCTGGGGTTAGGGTTAGGGGTCAGCGCTAGGGTTAGGGTTAGGGTCAGCGCGATGGTTAGGGTTAGGGCTAGATGCCAGGCTGGGGTTATCATCAGCAGCCGCCCGGACTGCGAGTCGGCTGATTTTTTGCAGGTCGGGACCCAGGAAACGCGGCGACAGTGGACGTGGCACTGGCTGGATAGGTTAGGGAAAGAATCCCGTCTCCCCTAAATTGCCCTACTTGGGTCGGCGGGGAGCGGGGAATGCACGGGCCTACGCCCCGTCGGACACGCTCCCCGGGTCCCGAAAGGCTGGCGGCTACTTCCGCCAGCTGAGCCATATTTGGCATGATGTGTGTTATACTATAATCAAGTTCATGTAGTCCTATTTGACTTACTCACACACACATAATTCATACATACATGATCTATATTTGATCTATGTATCTGTACATTGTGCCTGCTGCGTCGACGTTTCGACCTAATTTGGTCTTCTTCAGGACTGGGCACATGTAACAGCTAAGGCTGCTGGGCCCCAATTCATAGGGGTGAACCAGCCAGCAGCCGAACAGAAATGAAAATGAAAAGCCCTACCCACTTTTCTCCCTTTTATATTCCCTCAGCTAAAAATTAGAATGAATTTACTTATATTTAAGTTATTTTCTGCTCTATTTAGTTTTTGCAATCTTAACCCTTTATGCACCTGTTTGTGCTTTAAATCCGTATTAATTATGTTTATTCACATATTTGTGCTTTAATAAACATATTAATAGGTATATGGTCCTGCTTGACCTTTGACCTCTGTGGCCTGCTTGGCCGTCGGTCATTAAGTTGCCTCTAATGGTTAGGGTTAGGGCGAGTCCCAGGTTAGGGTTAGAATCCCATACTAGGGTTAGGGTTAGGGTTAGATTCCCAGGTTAGGGTTAGTGCTGGGGTTAGGGTTAGGGGTCAGCGCTAGGGTTAGGGTTAGGGTCAGCGCGATGGTTAGGGTTAGGGCTAGATGCCAGGCTGGGGTTATCATCAGCAGCCGCCCGGACTGCGAGTCGGCTGATTTTTTGCAGGTCGGGACCCAGGAAACGCGGCGACAGTGGACGTGGCACTGGCTGGATAGGTTAGGGAAAGAATCCCGTCTCCCCTAAATTGCCCTACTTGGGTCGGCGGGGAGCGGGGAATGCACGGGCCTACGCCCCGTCGGACACGCTCCCCGGGTCCCGAAAGGCTGGCGGCTACTTCCGCCAGCTGAGCCATATTTGGCATGATGTGTGTTATACTATAATCAAGTTCATGTAGTCCTATTTGACTTACTCACACACACATAATTCATACATACATGATCTATATTTGATCTATGTATCTGTACATTGTGCCTGCTGCGTCGACGTTTCGACCTAATTTGGTCTTCTTCAGGACTGGGCACATGTAACAGCTAAGGCTGCTGGGCCCCAATTCATAGGGGTGAACCAGCCAGCAGCCGAACAGAAATGAAAATGAAAAGCCCTACCCACTTTTCTCCCTTTTATATTCCCTCAGCTAAAAATTAGAATGAATTTACTTATATTTAAGTTATTTTCTGCTCTATTTAGTTTTTACAATCTTAACCCTTTATGCACCTGTTTGTGCTTTAAATCCGTATTAATTATGTTTATTCACATATTTGTGCTTTAATAAACATATTAATAGGTATATGGTCCTGCTTGACCTTTGACCTCTGTGGCCTGCTTGGCCGTCGGTCATTAAGTTGCCTCTAATGGTTAGGGTTAGGGCGAGTCCCAGGTTAGGGTTAGAATCCCATACTAGGGTTAGGGTTAGGGTTAGATTCCCAGGTTAGGGTTAGTGCTGGGGTTAGGGTTAGGGGTCAGCGCTAGGGTTAGGGTTAGGGTCAGCGCGATGGTTAGGGTTAGGGCTAGATGCCAGGCTGGGGTTATCATCAGCAGCCGCCCGGACTGCGAGTCGGCTGATTTTTTGCAGGTCGGGACCCAGGAAACGCGGCGACAGTGGACGTGGCACTGGCTGGATAGGTTAGGGAAAGAATCCCGTCTCCCCTAAATTGCCCTACTTGGGTCGGCGGGGAGCGGGGAATGCACGGGCCTACGCCCCGTCGGACACGCTCCCCGGGTCCCGAAAGGCTGGCGGCTACTTCCGCCAGCTGAGCCATATTTGGCATGATGTGTGTTATACTATAATCAAGTTCATGTAGTCCTATTTGACTTACTCACACACACATAATTCATACATACATGATCTATATTTGATCTATGTATCTGTACATTGTGCCTGCTGCGTCGACGTTTCGACCTAATTTGGTCTTCTTCAGGACTGGGCACATGTAACAGCTCAGGCTGCTGGGCCCCAATTCATAGGGGTGAACCAGCCAGCAGCCGAACAGAAATGAAAATGAAAAGCCCTACCCACTTTTCTCCCTTTTATAT